TCTCTTCGACGTACCGTGTGTTGCGCCCTTTGCCAGAACACCCAGTCTCAAGGATTCCATTGCAAGCCCCCCAAGATCTCCCCAACACTCCGGGCCCAACGACATCCCCACCGAATCGCCCCATGATTTCCCTCGAGAAGATTTCACTGGAATGCCTGCAGATGCTGTCGTTGACGCCCCAACAGACAACGCTGTGGTCATGGCCCCAGGTATTCCTATCGGTATCACTCCAGACTCGCCTGCTTGCTACCCATCCGAGTCACCCAGTCGCCGAGTTCAGGTTATTGACGTTGGTTTTCCCACTGATATGATTGGCATACCCTCCATGGACGATGGACTAGAAGACTTTGGTATTGGTATGGTCTCGCCCGAACCATCAAAGCCACCTCCCATTAGCGTTCGACCCACCACCAAGAAGGAACTACCTGCACGGAAAGCAAGAGTCCACCCCCGGGCCCAATCGCTCCCCAACACTCTGGAAGCTCAGTATTGGAGGCAGTCAGCTTCCAGAAGATACTACGGTCGAGGACCACCACCCCCTGTGCCCCTCTACGATCCAAACAAGCCGCTAACCCAACAGCGCTATTCTTACTCTGTTGCGACTGCAACTCGAGGACCTGGTTGGTCTCTACAATCAAGTCGGAATCGCCCCTACAGGCGAGGTCCCGGGCTTTCTCCAATGCCTTATGCGCTCCCGCCCTTTCCTTCACCTCCTCCGCCGCCGACTGCAGGTGGTGCCAGGAGGTATTCTGTCCCTTCCACCTATCGTCCTGCCACCACAATGAAGTACCAACTTCCGTGGCAGAGGTGAGACGATGCCAGCCCGCCTGTCTGTTGTACCACTACTACGAAAATACCGCGCCCCCAAGAAACAACTACCGGTACAGCAGAGTTGCTTAAGAAACAATTCTTCATGCTCTTCTCCCTCCATTGTTCATTTCGTTCCCTTAGCGTCGTTGCTAACAAGCCATCCAATTTTACATCTGAGCAACTGCATAATACTACCCCACGAACGAACCAGGCAAAATGATAAAATAATACAGTCTAATCACATCTAGAAAAGCGCCCAGAGCCACCAACAGGCCAATCGTTACTAGTTGTGTACTAGCAATATACTACATGCGAACAGACAGCAGGCAGGCAGTGTGAACACCAAACCTGTCTAGGTAGCACTAGTAGCCAGCTGTCTAATTAGCACGAGAATAGAATGCTTTTTATAGGAATGCATTCTACTGGCTAGCCAGCATGGGAATCTGTGTGGAGGCTCATGCTCACAAGCCTGCTGACCACTTCTGGTTCCATTCTAAGAAGGGCCACTTTCTTGTTCTTGAAAATCCTATTGCAACTCTCCACCGCAAAAGTGTCGCCAAATCTGGTTGGCTGCAAGGCTGATGTGGAGTACGTCAGGATATCTCAAATGAGGATTGGTGGAGCTATTGGTGGCCATCACTCAAGCTAAACGCAACAGCTTTTATGTTTGTTCCGATCGGAAGGTGGTGATGCTTCAACAACCATGATCCAATCAAACAGTTCCACAGAAAAAGTGCCAAAAGATCGAGATTTGATGCCCGCCTTCGCATCGGTGCATTCGTGTAATTACTCGAGCTTATGGTGAGATGCACCACAAGCTCCTGCGCGCAGGCTGGCTGTGCTTCGGTCCTCCATCGCAACTACACGAAGACAAAAACTCCGATCCACCGACGAGGGGGCTTCCAGCTTCCAGCTAGTCTAGTAGGAAGTACCGGTAGTACGAAGGTGGGAGCCCAAGCAACCGACTCTGTTGACGGCATCACCAGGTTAAAGCCAAGAAGCACATCATTGGCTGGCTACCTACGGTGTCCTCTACAAACACCACGTCCGGTTGCGGTACAAGCAGCCACGGTCGAGGATAGCTAGCTACACTAGTACTGGCTATTTGAGGACCAATCCCTGGCCTACCTTTGAACGGGGAAGAAGATTTGTGGTCTCTAAAATCAAGATCTTCATTCTTTTTTCATTGCAAAGTGTGCCGCCCAGACGGTACGTATTGGTGGCTGACCTGACAAAGAGTTGCATTCAAAGTTCAGTCCAGGCAGGTTGGCAGCTACCCTTCTTTTGCTTTTTGTGATGCCAGATACCATCTGGCTTCCTCGTGCTTCCCGATATAAAAGAAGGTGGGCCCTGCCCTATGCATACTAGTACACTGGCAGTCACCGGTTCCGATTGTAGTTGCCCCACCAGCTTGCCTCTCGCTGGGATAAGCAAACAGGAAACAGGTGCTTTTAGTGGAGGATGCGATGGTTTCGACCCGCCTTGCTGGCTGTGAGATGCCACGGGAAGCATCTTTTCGCCAGATCTTAATCTGGTAAAGAATTGGTGCTGGCAAAAAGATACCGTATCTTCGATTGTGGCCGCCCGGCTTGGCAGTGATGGATTGTCACTACGGGACAAAAATATGATTATTTAGGCGAGCAATTTGTGATCTTTACACGGTCCCTAAATGGAGTTCCTAAATAAGACCCCTGTTTAGGCAGTGTTGGAGTATAGCTATTACTTAATACACTTGTCGTTCACCAACTTTTATCCAGACATGAAAGTCATGGTTTGAAGGCCATATTTGGAGTTACCACTTCTGGTTAAACTTTATCTTAAATCTCTTTTCTTTTCTTCCATGACTAGCCAAAAAGAGACACAGTTTAACATGGCATTCTGGAATCTTTTATTATCTCGTGTCGTACTATTACGTTGACACCACATGTTTGTGTGACGCTAAAAGGAGAGAAGTGAACGAGTGATAAACCGTCAGAATGGGTCAAGGAATTCCAATAAGTATTCTGGTTGAAGAGTGTCTTGTCATGATATTTTTTTGGTATGTCACTGGCTTCCACGAGTTTGGAGTAATAACACGCATGAAACGGATCTTTCTACCAAAATGCCACCCAAACGAAGGAATCGCACTGTCGCCACTCAATGTTCTGCTGGGAAGCCCATGTTAAACCGCCGTCTGCTGGTTTTCTGTCTATGGTGACGTATTGGAGTCTCAAGCTTGTTATTCTGACAAAAGAAATGAAAGAGGATACCTCTTTGTTTTTTCGCCTTCAGATCGTTTTTATCTGGTGTCATATCTTTTAGTTTGTTGTTTAGAGTAAACAACAAACATTTACTATCTATTAGAAAGCATCCGGCAAAAGATGAAGGATACCAATCAAGCAACTTGCAACGATATCAACAACGGCTGGGATGCTTCTGATGAAGGTGCTGCTACCGCCACCAAGACGGGTCACCATGAGAATGCTGCATGGGACGATCACGACGGTCTGTTCCATTTCGACCTACTACGCAGTCCCCGGCGAGAGGACCATGGAGACGAAGACGAAGGCAATGCACCGATAGTGGGAGAAATTGTGGATTTTGATGGACCTGCCATGGCAGAGGCGACAGAAGATAATAACAAGAGACAAGCAGCGAATGACGTTGTTGTGGTTGTGGATGGCTCTGATGACGATCAGAACAACAAGAAGGAAGAAGAAGATAATGAAGAAGGAGACAACTGCAGTGACGATGGATCGTTCCTCAAGTTGGAAATGTTTGAAGGAGTCTTTGAAGAGCATCCGGATGGTTCGCACACGGATGATGGTATTATCCCACTCGCGGACGAAGATGTCGTGGGAGTGGTGAGCACTACTGCGACGAATTCATCGTCCTCCGATACCGACTCTTCTGTCAAGCGTCCCGCTGAAGTCGAAGAAGACGATTCGCAGCGCTCCTTCAAAAAGGCAAAGCCCCAGACGAATTCGACGACGGCAATGGAAGAAGCCAAGCTTCCCACCGAGATTGCCCTGAAACTGTCCACCAAGCCGGCTCCTCCCAAGGTCAACAAGCCCTCGGCGGCTGCTGCCAATTTGATCAGCGCCTTTCAAGAAGAACTCGTCATCAAGCAAGACTTTCCCACGCCCAAGCACCCACGCAAACGACGTCCGAATTGTATGTTTGTCAACCATTTTGGCACGCGCTTGAATGTCAAGACGGGTGCCTCCGAGCCGGTCAATGTACCCTCCAAGAACCGAATCAGTAGCTGCGAAGAAAGTATCAGCATTCGAACCAAGACCACGGCGTCCACACGAAGCAGCAAGAGTGCTGATACCAAGGGCACTCCTGTCTGTGCTACTACCACCAAGTCGGGAACTCCTTCTGTCAACACCGCGGAAGACTGTGTCCCCTCGGTGGTGCGTATTGTCACGCCCACCGCCAACAAGCCCGCCATTCGATCCTCGCGATTGGAAGACATTACCATGGAAGAAGACGAACTCGAACCGATCTATCAACCAACTGATGATGACGATGTCATGGTGATTGATAAAAATCATTTGCCATACATTACGTCCTTACCCCAGGTGTCGTCGTCCCCTCGTCCGAAAACTACCAGCAAGTCCAGTAATAATAAAGGCAAAGTCACATCACGATCGTCCTCACCCAAGACACCGCCCGCCAAGACCACCACCAAGAAGAATATATCTCTGCCACCCATGGTACCACCCGTCATGATGTCCCCCTGCAACTCGCGAATGCAAGTCAACTTTAATCGTCCATTTCCACTCTTGCAACGCCGTGCCTTTTTGGCCGGTGCTTGTCCTCCCATGCCACATCACGCTCAAGCCGCGGCATTTGCTGCAGGAGCTGCTGCGGCGGCTGCCGGATGGCATGGAGCTGCATTCCCGCATCCGGGCATGCCCTTTCCTCCCTCCATGTCACCCTTCCCACCCATGCCAAACACTCCCACCAGTCATCAGTGGACGACAAAGAAAAAGAAATAAACAAGTGCTTTTCTTGCTACTACCGGTGTATCGACGTTCGAAATCGCCCAACAGTACAAGCAACCAAACAACCAAAACGACGACAAATAGAATCTCATCAAAAGCACGGAACCAAATCAAACAACGTTCTTGCCAGCCAAACCAAGCCATCCATCCATCCCGGAGAGTTTTTATTCCTTTTCTTCGTGCATCAACCTGCCTGCCCACCTACACGAACGAGAAATCTATTATTATCTAAAATCTACAGTACCTAATGACCTAAACAAAACAAACAATACATCCATTGCAACTTTTCGCCTCGCTTGGCCTGGAACTAGCCAGCCAGAGCCAGATGCCGTAGCCACCAACCCCAAAACTAGACTTCTAGCTAGAGTAATGTTGATGGCACATGGAAGCAGCCACTCGCCCAGCTCTCCCTCCAAATTCTTTCTCCTTCCTCGTCCTCTCGTCACGTACTGGTTGGTACATTGTACTAGTACCTTACGGTGAGGATAAATCTACCAACCCCACAACACTTCGTTCAACGACTCTTTGCAACGGCTAACGTGAGGGAAAAGATCCCATAACGGCTCTCTATTTGGCGATCTTTTAGAGGTGCTTTTGCCAGTTTTTGGCGGGAGAAGCAGGAATATAGGGGCAGATAAAAGACTCCTAAACAAGAATCAACAAAAAGATACCGTGTCTCGATTCTAAATGGAAAATGTCAATACAGGAGGAAAAAGACACTGTTTAGACCAATCTGTAAGTCTTTACGAATTGGGTATCTTTTGGTGATTCCCAGCAAAGCCGCTTGACACTGTGTGCGTTGTACTTTACTTGCCTAAATTCCATTTAAAACACGTCAAGCTTTGCACAACAAGCCTCGCCAGTGGTGTAAAGGTATTCAGGGTTCCACCAGAGAGAATCTTTTGTTCCAATTTTGTTTCGGTGTGGACCAGTTGTTGCTTGTTTCCAGCTCCACCTCAATACTGTAGACCATCCATGGAAGACCATGTCGTCAGAAACTGTCAGGATCCCTGTCAATCGAAAATTTGTCCAGCATCTGGTGACGGTGCTCGACAGTTTCCTTTGAATTTGTCCAACACACACACCGTCATCCATCGAGATCTAGCCAGTTCGCAAGCGTCAGCTTCGAAGGCAGTGACGCGCCGCGTCGAGTCTGCATTGGAACCAGCATTCACCGGATCAATGAAGCTCATTCATTGGAGACGAAGATTCTTCATGTAAGATGGCCAGTTGCCGACAGAGTGTTCGTCCTCAGTCGACAGTTCCATACACCTGTGGAAAGTGGCTGCCAGTTTCCCGCTCAGCAGCCCAGGTTGTTTTGGACTTTGGTGGCAACGGCCTGTGGCTGATGATTACCTCGCTTTAACCAGACCAAGTGATTGAGTTGGGACTTGTCCTCCATCCAGATCTGTTGCCAGTTGGTCGTTGCGATCTTTCAATCTTTTTCTTTTTGGAGGTTTGACCAAGCCACCTTTTGACGCTTGGACAGACATGACCACGAAAGCTTTGGCAGCAGTCGCCGATTTTGTTGCCGCCAGTTTTGCAAGTGCACTGAACGCAACCATTGGCGAAGGGAGTTCCTTTTCAGCTCGTTCCAGTACTAGCTAGCTATGATAGAATGCAACGACAAGGATGATTTGCTTGCATTTGTAAAGCATACCAGCACATTCGCTCATATTACGGTACAGCAGTGAAAGGGCAATGGCTGACTACGTAGTCAACAACGTCCACTGCTAACACGGTGCTCCTGACCAACGCCGACGGAGGCAAAAGACGCAGCCATTGGCGCGCGGTAGGATCCTAGTTTTATGTGATCAATGCATCTTCCTCGCACTCCTGTTTCGGTTTTGATGCGTTCGGATTTCATGGGAAGATCTACTGAATACGAACCCGTCGTGGGTGTGTTTGTGCTTGGCCGACAGAGCTAGCGCGCTCAGGCAAGGCCAGCAATGAGCTGCACTAGGGTCGAACGAACCTGCTGTAACGCTTCAAGCCCAGACACGGGGACGGTCGGCTAAAGCCCTTGTATGCTCCATTTCACTATTCTCGTCCGAGTTACTTTAAGTCGTCGCTTTTGTTGATTCTACCGGTAGCAGTGTGGACGTGCCAAAGTCCGCGTCAAATACGGAACTCGTCCCTCCTTGTTTTTTTATACGCACGAGGAGGAGGGGAATGCATGGACAAAGAAGGGCTGCAACTGCACTCCCAGCGGGAGTGGGCCTCCTCGCACCCCCACACGGTCGCAGTGATCAAGTTTTGCCTTTCGCATGAACCAGTACCTTGTCCTGAGGCTGTCGCTCTCAGGCCAGACTCTACTACAAGCTAGCTACTCACAAGCGTAGCAGTTGCATCCACACAAGCCACTACCTTGGCAGGGAGAGCTGTTGGTTTTCCTATGAGTTGGAAGTTCTCTGGGGCTGTCTTCATACCTGTACAAGACATTGCAGAGCCCCTCTGGGATCCTGCCTGACAAGGAAGTATTGGTCACTATCAGACTGGTCAAGGATGTCATGGCTGACATTCCAGTTGGGACTGTTCCCGAAAACGGGTATTTTGAATTTCCAATTCCTTCAGGTGGGTCAGTAAACCAACTTCTGTTGGAAGGAAACCAATGAACTGGTTGTCATGCAATTTTACTTTCTCCAATTGTGTTAGACCCGAAAACATGACAGGTGCAAGCATTAGAACTGGAAACCAATCCTATCTCTGATGGAATTTGGCCGCGAAGTTCAAAGTTCCCAGAAACGTCCAAAAGCTGTAGGTTTGGACTCAGGAGGGACAACTCAGGTGGTATGCTTCCGTCCAAAGTGTTGTGAACAAGAGACAGACATCTAATGAGCCCATTTGCTCGGGAACGTCTCTCAAGGCTGGCATTGTTACTCCAAATCCACTCCAGTGCCATCTTTTGGGGCGACCTGTCGTCTCCAAGAGCATCCATCATTGTAATCAGGCAGATTGAGTGAATCCAATAAGGATGTGGTGTTTATTGGCGCGGTTGAGTTGTTGGAAGGAGTGTTGATGGCCATCGATTTGCTGGCGGTATTGTTGTTGCCATTTCCACCAACCTCAGACACCACCAAAAAAGCCAGGAGCACTGCTATCACTGCCAAGAACACCACGTTGACTTCCATGCAAAGGACTCGTAGCAACCTATTTCTCCAAAATCGCTTTGATCTCTGGCTGGACATTCTAGGCTCGATGAGGTTGTCAGCCTGGTCCACATCGTTGTCCCAATTAGTATGGGTAACTACAGCATCAATGAGTCCTCGAGCTTGGTCGTCGTCATCCATCCCGTCAAAAGTCCCATCAAATGGAATGGCACCAGGCAACACGACTCCCGGGTCTTGTGTCTCTGGCATTACTGTCTCGGGAAGTGCTGGTAATCCAATCTGCGGGAGAGTCTGGGAAATCAATTTCACAGGTACCAATTCCAATCCCAAATCCGTATCTTCCGTGAGTGTTGGTCTGGACTGATGAAACGAGCCTCCACTATTTCCACCCAATGCATCCGCACTCGGTTCCCCGGACAATGGCGGCATTCTCATTACCAAAAAACTGAGTGATGCAAAAGCCTTCGGGAGAATCCATACTCCCAGCCTCATAATCGCCATGTCACCAATCACTGTTTCCACCAAAGTCAGCGCCATCCTTTCCGTCCAAATTTCCTTTGGATTGTTCGATGAAATCCTTGGTGTGCCACCTCGCGTCGGAATCGGAAGCGCCATTGCACAACCGATAAAGTTGACAGCTCCTCGCCCTGTCGTGGCTGGCAGGATACGGTTGTTCGTGGTAATGGCAGCACAGGGGCTGGCCTAACTAGCTAGCCAGCCAACCAGCACTGCAGCAGCTTTGAGGAGCGGAGATTACAAAGGAAGAATCAATCGCTGTGGTTATGCAACTTGAGAAGAACTGGCAACAGAGGCATCATGATATGCCGGTATCGGTGCCGCCCAACCGCGTCTTCGCCCCGTTTCAATTTCCAGCTCTCTGTGATGGTTGCACTGGTCCCTTCAGCGTTCCACGTGCTCTGGATTGCAAACGCGGCGGCTTAATCATCCGGCGCCACAAGGAAATCCGCAATGAACTTGGTTCAATTGCGTGTGAATGCTTTGGTTCCTCTAGCGTCCAGTCGGAACCACCCCTTCTGGTGCTGGACAATTTGTAGGGAGAATAGATAGAGGTCCAACACATCGAGTTGGTGGACAAACTCTTTCACTCGTTTCGTGAATCAAGTATCTCCACTTGCTCCAAATCCGATTCTTCTGCTGTGTATTGCAAGTTTGATTCTTCTGGACGTACAATGTCAGTTTCCTCTCAAGGTGGAGACTCTTCCTCCTTGCATTCCTCTTGGAGTGCCGAGACATTAGTGCCATTTCTCCCGTGATGCTGGGAACTTCCCTTTGTTCCACGATGTCCCGAGGCTCTTCCTGGAGTATAGTCGTTTCTCATCGATCGCAAACAGGTGCAACAGAACATGCTTCGCAAGACCCGACCTTCGGGTGTTTTCATGGGGCTTCGTAGTCGTGCAAATACCAAAAAGTTGAGTGTACCGGCAGATGGTACAAATATTCCATATGCAAAATCATCAAAGACATCGTTCCACGTTCCAAAGATTGCATATCGTACTGCGGCAACTAATGGAAAGAAGTAGGTCAACAAGAAGGCGAGGATATAGAACATGCCTTGTCTGGCCACTGTGGCATCAGAGCAACATCAATTTAGCTCATCAAACACGTGCATTCATCCATCCATCCATCCATCCATCCATCACGACAACGACCTACCAGCAAGCGACTTCTGTCGATTTACCGCGGAGTGGCGCTCCGATTGAGCATGGTTGCTGTGTTGTGTGTGGCTGTCAATGGACGATCTAGCTGACATGTGGTGACCACTGCTTGGGTTGTGTATGGATGTGGCGTATTTCTTGCTCATATTCTCGACATACCTCACCTAAAGGTATAACCGTAAGGCAAACAGTGTGAGAGACAGGTCCCTTCGAAATGAAAACAACCCCAGGTGCTGCTAACTGACTAGAGGCGCACCTTTACATAAATTGCAATCATGATTCCCACACTCAGGCACATGGATAATATTGGTAGCAAAGCAAGCGCGAGTTGGTGGAATGTGGTGTCGGATCCCCGGATACACTCGTCTCCAGAGCAAATCTCTGGTACGGATTCCAGGAAGCAAACCTCCAATCCGAAATTGTAAAGATCCAACGGGATGGGGTATATGGCCCACCCTAATGCCACAATCCAAATGGAGGGCTATTGAGCGAAAGTTTGTTGCAGAGAATAAAGAAGAAATAGCCGGGTCAGATAAGAGTGATTAAAGAGAAAGGAGAAGGAACCAACATCACTACCAGTAGCTGGCAGCACCTACGTACCAAAACCCAACGCTCTATGCGATGCAAATCTCGATCACTCTTGCCAAGGCGAACTACTAGCAAATAGTAGACGGAAAGGGCAGCCCCACCAAGTATAGATGCCACATACCCAAGTAAAATGATGAATCCCTGAAATTCACAAGATGCCACCGTGCCATAATTCATGATGGTACTGTCAGGCATGTCGGGTGGCGCAGGCCACGTGCCTAGAAAGTACCCGATGCTGAATGAAACATCGGCAATGGCCATGGAAAGCAACACTCTTTTGATGGGAGATCCATTATGGCGAGCGGATCTCTGGTCTTCCACTACCTCTCGTATCATGACATAGGAACAAATCACGGAAAGTAGAGCGAATGGCTTGGGGAGAATGGCAGCGGTGATTTGGCGGGTGTCACTGACGACATGATCGTTGTGACCAACTCCAGTACTATTGGATTCTGCTGCTGATGCTGCTGTCGCAAACACAACCAGGCTTAGCAGGCCGACAAACTCCAGGTCGTGCAGCAGCCTCTTTCCCATCTCCATGTTGTGAGATAGCAAACAGGGTCATTTTTGTTGAAGCATGCGATGTAATCCGCTTTCTAGGTTTCTGCGTTTTTTTTTTTGGAGGGTGGAGTGTGACCATCAAAAACAGCTACGACTGTACAGCGCCATAGCTAGCTTGTATCGTTTTTGACAAAACGAAAAAATCAAAGGCAAAAGGTAAAATCCCACAAGTTGGTCCTCTCGTGCGCTAACAACTTCCACTCCCGTGCCCACGTCATGGAAGTGTTCAGAATGCATGCCTTCCGCCCTTGGCCGAGCTATTAATTATTCTACCGGTACCCAGGTAGCGGTTGCAGCCAACCCTGGGACGGTGGACCATAACCTTCCTCTTCGACTGCTTGCTTCTTTTAGGATTGAGTCCTCTAGCTACCGGTAGCTAGCCAACCATTAGACATATGTGCCGGTGATCTGTTGCCACACCAGTGCTACGCCGATTTCTGAACACATGTTTTCTTCGTTTCACAGTACCCCCAAACGGGCCATGCTTCTGGCTTCTGGGTTTTCTTGGCTGTTGTTGTTTTCAGGCCGCGTCTTCCTACACTTTACCAGCGGGTATCGTGAGGACTATGATGAAACAGGAACGCTCTTAGAAAAGAGCAGGGCCAGCAAGCTAACTAGTTTTCAAGGCTTCAAAATTGTTTGTCTTAGCATGGTAGAGAAATATGTAATGAACTGAAGGTTGCCTGATGCTCGCATATGTCTTGCGGGTTCACTTCGTTCCGTATTTGGGGTCTTTTTCCGGGATCTCAGCCGTTCCACTTTATTGCAAATCATCGTCCATTCCAAGGACTCTATCAATGTACTTCCTCCACTTGTTGGCCCTCCAAAACTTGAACACGCTGCCTTGGTCGCCTTCACGGGACATGTCGTTCAACATTTCCAATTCTTTCTGGCGATGGATTCGTTTGAATGTATCCACGGAATCATCATCGTCATCACCCCGCTGATGCTCCCGTGCAATGGAGGTGGTCATGTCGATTTCAAAACAGCGACTAAGATGATACCTCATATTGTCAACTTCATCTTCTTGTGAGAGTACATCTCGAAGGAGACGAATAGTTTCGTGAGGGCTGGGTCGGACAAAAAACACGTGATGCTTCGTTGGGACCCAGGAAAAGCTGAAGCGATGTGCGTCATAGACAATGAAGACACCCGAGATGAACTTGGCATCCTGAAAGTTTTTCTTGGCCAATTGTCCCTGTCCTGGAAAGATGGATTCGCCATATTTGCTTTGAAGAATCGTATGCTCTTCGGACACGGGTGGAGATGAGCTGGTATACTCGCTCGCCGCGTCGGATTCCTCTGTAGCGTTCAGAGGTGGTGGGCTCAGGTTGGCGGTAAACGAGACTTCACCTCGTGGTACAGTGTCATCGCCCGTGACTTTTGTCGCCACAAGGGTATCATCAGCGTAAGTGATATTGACTAGTTGAGGGCCTCCTCCATAACTTGGGAAATTGAGCGAATACAAGAGAAGGAAAGTAAGGCTGGACCGTTTCATGGGTATCCATCTGAACACAGTTAGTTTGCCACAACATTTCACTTACTTTCCAACCCACAATCCTTCCATTTGAAAGCGCGGAAGACATGCCTGGGCCAATGTCTTTTGTTTCGACCAATGATCAATGAGCTTTTTCTTCAAATCCGGTTTGAGCACAGCGCGTGATACGGTCTCTGCCTCTGCGATCAGCTTTCGGGCCTTGTTGTAGACAGCCTCTGGATCTTTCTTTTCCTGCTCCTCAATTTCTTTTCTCAAGGAAGCAACGCGACTCTTGTCGTCCGTTACTTCGGCCCATTTCAAGTTTTCACGGTAATATTCCAAATCGGACCGAAGTTGCTTCAGTTCTTCTCCTTTCAAGAAGGGACTCGCTTCGTTGTTGGGGTCATTATTGGATACATCGAGTTTCTTGGATTTGTCATTGGATGACCGTTCGTCGTCCATCCACCAGTCATCATTGGAAGAAGCAGTGGCAACCACCAAGCACCTTTTTCTGGTTTCCGTGTTATCGCGAGGATGACACACTGCACAGCCTGGACTTCTTTTGGATGCCGAGAAAGCTAGACCCACCGATGGCAACAAGGACGCCAAGAACAAGGAGAGTTGCCGTTTGCTTCGAAACATCGTTAAAAATTGATACACAACAAGAAGAGGAAGCAAGGATATGGACCTCTCTGGATACACTTTGTTGTTCTGCCAAACAAAATGACAGAATCGAATCCTTTCAATGATGCCACCATCGTTGATTTTGATTTGGCCACATACTTGAGAACTTTGCCAAAATGTGACATGAGTGAGGTCAAGAAATTCCTAAGACACGTCATGTATTGTGGGTACACTCAGTGTGATAGTACTCCCAAGTCTAAGAATTCTAAAAGTTGACTGTGGAGTTTGCTGTAGGGTACCAGATGGCAGAGAATAATCGTTAATGCTTTGAGTCTCAAGCCTTCAACAAGTCCTGATCCATGATCCATCGGTTGCGACCTTGGCCTTGGATCAAACCAAAAGGAGGGTCCAGTACACGTACCGGTAGGTCCAGCCAACAAGAGACGAAGAGACAGGTTGATAGCCAAAATGTAACCCCTGAGGAGTTGAAAGTGGTTTTCTTTCAGTTGAGCTCGAAGTTGCATTCAGAGGTTGTGTGGAGTGTGGAGTTCACCTCGCCCATTGCAGAGCAAAGGGCGCCGACCTTGTGGAAGTGGTTCTTGGTTTTCCTCTAGACTAGAGTACATAGGATTGTCATTATATATTCCAAACTGAAGGCTGATGTTGGGTTTGTTGCCGTCCCCTGCTGCATGGTGAAGTTGCGTGGAACGATAAATCGAACGTGAGCGGAGCATTGTGTTCCAGTTGTCTCTGAGTGGTGTTTCCTTTATGAAAGGATACTTTGAAGCATGACTGATAAAGATGCTCGCGGTGCTAAAGTCTTGCCTCAATGGTGAATTATGTGGCATCCAGGCTTTAACGCTCGAATCTCTGCAAGGGTATCATAGATCATGAAACATGTCTTTTATGTTTATGAAGCCATGCAGAAATAAAGGAAATTTCATTCTGAAACCCTCACTTAAAAGCTTGGAACTTCAATTTCTACCCTAAACGGGAATTCATAGTCCTACCCAAAGCTCAGATTTAAGTTAGATGGCCCCCAGGCGAACACGCTGTTGTTGCATTTGTATGTGTACCGGTGGTGGGTGGTGGTCATCTACATGTATCTGCCCATGGCTTCCGAGCTGAACTGGCAAAGATTCGATTCACAGCTCTGCAAGAAGCCTTGAGGAAAGAAGACACGCTCGACCATTGGCATTGATTACTCGGTAACCTGAAGCTGAACGCAGCTAGCTAGCTGGGTGTGCGAGTCGAAAGAGAAGCAACTGAGTGATCGATTGATTGACTGACTGACGGAGTAAAAGTTGTACTGGAAACGATGGAAGACCAGGCCGAGACAGAGTTTGACTTCGAGGTGGAAGAGCTGCAACAGTTTGTGGGCGGAAGAGGCACAACAACCGCTGATGACCCGGAAGAGGACGGCCATGAGTCTCTGGGTGCCATTCGGGCTGCCATGACTCGAGGATTCAGTAGTACGCGTCGTGCTTCCTCTCGAGCACTCGGTGGTAGCTCTCATCACGATCGTCGTTCGTCCCTAGGACGATCGAGTTCGGGCATGGGCAACAGCAGTCACACCGATCGCTATCGACGCCATGCTACGGCTCCCGCACGTTCCAGTTCGAGCAGCGTCAAGCTGTGGCAAGCAAGAGGCTCCATTGTGGCAGATAATGTGGATCAGAGCACCAATCTCATGTCGGCTTCGTATCATACCAAAAAAGTTGGCAACAGCGGCGGCGGCGGCGGTCATTGGGGAGATCGAAGTTGGACTGACATTTTCCTGGAACGAGATCATTCCGGATCGGGAAGCATGGAGGATTCCTTTGCGAGTGTACGCTATGGAGAAACCAAGGTCCGAGAAAAAGTCAAAATCAAAAAATGGCCCGTCTTTCTGGTCTTTTTGATCACAGGTCTCGCTCTCACCATACTGCTGCTCGTCATTCCCATGGGAGGAGTCATCCTGAACAGCAGCAGCAACTCGTCAGCATCATCCGAAAGCACAAATGATCATACGGCTCAGGTGACTCCCAGCCCAGAGACCAACAATCCACCAACTCCGTCCGAGCCAGCCACAGAAGAAGAGGAAGAAGAACCAGCAGAGAAAGAACAAGCCAAAGAAGAAGTGGAACCGTTGGAAGATGACGCAGAACGGCTGCAGGCACTGGAATCACTGTTCATGGATCTGGATATCACCCCTAAGTCAGAACTGCAAAAGGAGGGAAGCGCAGCAAACAAGGCACTACGGTGGATTGCCACTGAAGATACTGCCAAAATAGTACCAAACACAGACAACAAGGAAGTCCTTGTGCAGCGCTATGCCCTTGCAGTCTTCTTCTTTTCCCAACAACAACACGAAAACGATGATGTTGGTACAACAGCAGCAAAGCGAGCAGGGGTGGGCGGAAGGCGACTAAAAAGTCTTGAGCCACAACAAAGACGCAGGATGGAGAACACTGACAGAACAGTTCTAGACAAGACTTGGCTCACGGAAGGATCCATCTGTCAGTGGCATGGCATTTTCTGTGATGGAGATGAGAAGCACTTGGTACATGAAATCTATCTTTCGCGAGCCAATTTGGTGGGGACAATTCCAGAAGAACTGTTCCTCGCCATGCCTTCCCTCCAACGTCTTGATTTGACTCACAATCAGTTTCATGGAAAGTTGCCCTCGCAGCTGCCGTCGTCCTTGCAATTGGAGCACTTATTGCTGGGACATAACCAATTGACTGGATCAGTTCCTCGTAACATTCTACAGGAATTGCCCACTTTGAGTAAGACCATGCAGCCATCAAGAGCATGTTGCCATACATTGTTGACACGACATCCTCACCTCACCCTCTCTTTCCTTTTCTTACTCTGTCTATGTTTCACAGAGGAACTTGTACTGGTCAATAATAGTTTGACAGGAGAACTGCCCGAAGCAACAGATTCAGTCAATGACAATCTGCAAGTCTTATCGTTGGCTGCCAACCAGTTGAAAGGATCCATCCCTAAGTCATATGGACAAGAACTGCCGAGCTTGAAGAAATTCAACTTGGATGGAAACAGTGGCATCCGGGGAAGCGTCCCCACAGAACTGGGGCTTCTGTCAAACCTGGAACGGTTGCAGTTGCATGGGACCAGTCTCACAGGTGAAATGCCACAGCAAGTATGTACGCTCCATCAGAGCTCGTCCTTGAGATATCTTGTCACAGATTGTACCAGTGGAGAGATCCAATGCGATTGTTGTACGCGTTGTTTCTAAGCATGAAAGCGCATGCTGCATGTACGAATAGAGGGATGGACCTTCTGAGGCGACACATGCTATTGGCGCTGGCAAGCAGCTGTCTGTGGTTGTCATCATGGTCTAGCAAAAATTTCTATTAAGTTACAAGCTGCGATTTGGTTGTACGTGTAGTCCAACTGTGTCGTAGCAGTGAGTACGCCAAGTGGGGGCAGGGTGGTCTGTGCGGAGGCGACATGTGGAATGGCTGCCTCCCAGCGGGGACTGCTCTGTTTCGTGCTACACCCCCTATCATGTGAAAAAAGCACCACCGCATGACTATCACCCCCAAGATGAGCATGGAGTCTACTGTCCGTCTTTGTCTTGCCAAGGGTACCGAATGATCCCCTTTTCTGCGGTCACCTTGATCGTGCGACTCACAGCATCCCGGCATCTTTCTGCCATGGCCTCGTCCATGATTCTGGTGGGAGGCTTCCAGGTAACAAGTTTCGCATCGTTCCCTGTGATTGTTGCGTACACAGTCAAAGCAATAATGTAGGAACCGGCCAAACTTTCGTGGTCGCCACCATTCTCATACAGCTGGTAGAAGAGAGATCCAGAGTCGGCTTTATGGGGTTCTTCGATTCCGGCAAGCTTTTCTTCAAGGTAGATTGACTGATAGACTAGCCCTACTGGGGCACAATAGGTCGGCCTTTCAGGGGTAGACGTGGCCTCTACGTATCGTAGATAACCCTCTGTGATCAAGTTCTGCGACGTCAGAAAGTCTGTGTACAGATCAGGATAGTCTTCAAAGAGGTCCATACGCCCCCATGTCATCATAAAGATAGTCTCGGCCTCTGGTTGACTGTCTATTATCAGGCTGTTGAGTGTTTGTGCGGCCTCCAAGCTCTCGTCAAAAGTATCCCTTAGCTCTTGGTTTTTGCTTCTCCAAAATCCCGCCTGAAAGTTTCAGAATGAGTGCCGAACAAGGTGAGGATGAACCAACAATGGACATGCAAGTAAATTTAGTCTGTCTTGTCTGTTGTGCACGTACGTACGTACCTGATGGCTAATATTCTGCAGAATGATCCACTTCCAGCGGTGGGCCGCCAGGGCGTCATCACCACTCGACATGAGGAAATGCGCCAGCAACTCACCACCATTGAAAAAGTAATTTCCCTCTCCTCCGTGGATCATTCGTACCATACTTGCAAGGTCTTCCCCCGCCAAGAAGGATGCCTCGGCGTTGACGCCGTCTCTTTCAAACACGCCAACGGTCAACTCGGCCAGTTGATTGTACCCGGTATAGCTATTCCCGACGTAAAACACATTCAAATCGTCCGGTGGAAAGGGCTCAATCTCCGCTCCCACAAACTCTTGTCCCATTCGATTCAGCACATTGCCAAAGAACACCCTTTCTCCGCATCTACTGTTGTAAATGGTGTATCCTTCGTCAAAGTCGTCATCATAGCAAGGCCACAACCCTCCGCCAAAGCGAATGTCAAACTGGCCTCGAAGGGCGACAAGAAAAAGTCCAATGAATCTTCCTGCCATGCTATGGACGTACTAGGTTTTGCTTTGCCCGTGGGGCTCCAAAGAAAATGCACTTCTCCAAAACCCAAGTTTGTAAGAACTTCGGCTCGATCTTGGTGTAAAAGACACGAAGCCGGATTGTTTGAAGAAACCACGGGAGTCAATTTTAGGAGAGGACAAATTAGGCCAGCAGAGTGACGAGTCAGAGTTGGAAAGATACAAGTACCTGGTACCGGTCTTGCCTTCGTCCGTGCACTTCAATCAAGGCTTCAGCTTCCACAAGAATGACGACCGGCGATTCGAATTCTTCACATCGTTCTTAGTCAGTCAGTGCTGCCAACTGCCAACCAACCCAAAGGACAAGTCAAAGAGAGAGCAGTTTGTGGCATTATCCAGAGAGCCACAGCAAGCTCTGAAGGGAATGAGAGTGCAGTGACGCCCAACAGCCATTGAGATATCTTTTTTTCAAGATCTGATCAGCTCGTCGAGGGTCTTGAAGATTGTCTCTTGGCAACAGTGTAGCATTGGTTGCAATCAGTCTGCCAGATACCCCATATTGAAGGATCCACGGATCTAGCTAGCCAGGGAAAGTGAGGATGAAGACTGATCATGGGGGTGTGAAGCCATCAATCAGCAAAAGAAGAATAAAGTCCAGCTTCCAAAAAACTCCAGCAAGGATACCCAGGCAAGATCCCATGGGAATGAGGTACATCAGAAGATCATTTCTAGTGGCTCTCATGCTGATATCTTGTTGGTTTCAGGGAGTACCATCCTTTCAGCTGCAGCCACTGCCATATCTGTCACCAATATCTACATGTACGCTTCCAGCACACAAGAGCAGATCAGCATCTCTTTCCAGAACAAGATCCAGAATACACAATCCACTCTTTCTACTGCCAATAAAGTCCCAATCACTCTCTCAACAAAGACCCACATTCCCATGTTCATCACCATCATCATCCACTGCTCTCTTTGGTATCAAAGGATTCCGTTCTTGGTTTGAATCTCAATTCCCCGATGCCATGTACTCCATTCCCAGATCCGGTTCCCACGATACATTTGATCACGTACTCATTGACATGAATCAACTCTTGCATGTCTGTTTGCGCAAATCCAAATCCGATGGACACGCCTTGACGTTGCTCATGAAAGAACTGGATGAATGCTGTCGCATGGCCACACCCACCAAATCACTGGTATTGGCCATGGACGGACCACCCTCCGCCTCCAAATTGGCAACGCAGCGGTTGCGACGACTGCAGACCATTGTCCGCACCGATCGCAAGTTGTTGCAAATGGAACAATTGGCACTGGCAAGCAGCGGCAATAAGAAACGCGTCTTTTCCAAAACGCGACGAGCCCGCAAACAGTGGCGGTATCAAGCCGATACACGGACCCTCCGAATTACACCCGGTACGGACTTTATGATTCTCACTGAACAGGCCATTTTGTACTGGGCATGGCAACGGCTGCAAAACAACAATCCACGGCATTATCTCAACCGTGTCAAGATATACATTAGTCCTTCGACTGTAGCGGGAGAAGGCGAAGTCAAATTGCTGGAATGGATACTACGACAGCCCCAACTACAACTATCGCAAAAACAAGGACAATCCATTGCCATTTTGGGCGGCGATTCAGATCTAGTTTTGGAATCTCTCGCCATTCCACCCTCCTTTACTCATAACGTCTTTGTATTGCTGCCAGATGGCAATCAAAAGTATCTCTCGGTCAGTTTATGGGAAACCACACGGGCATTGGCACAGTTCTTGCCCCGCAATATTCTCGCCTCGGAACACTTTCTGCGGGTCCGAACCGATCTGGTACTCTTGCTGATACTGAATGGCAACGATTACTTTCCCAAATTGCGTGGATCCAGCGGGTTTCACAAGGTCTTTCACGCCTATTTGCGAACACTGCGGGAATGGCTTGCTTCGGGAGATCAGCAACATCATCCACCCTTTCTCGTCGAACCGGAACGGCTCACGTACAATCTACCCTTTTGCATTGCCTTTTTTCGACGGCTGGAAAAGTTGGCACCACCGGGACTCTTGTGGGGGGCCAACATGACGACCGCGGCGACAGCGGATGCAGGTTCCAAGGGACGGAACACACCGCTGGCCAAGTTTAATGGACTTGTGGACGCTGGCTTTTTCCCACATCCGATACGTTGGAAAGCCATTGCTGCAACAGATGACGACGACGATGACGATGATGGAGAAGACGACGGCGTAGACGAAGAGGACAATCAAGCCGACGAAGACGACGAGGACGACGAGGACGACGACTATGATGAAGATGACGACGATATGGATGATGACGACGACGATGATATGGATGACGAAGATAGTGGGGAGGACGAAGATGAAAACGATCATCCAAAGAAACAACATCTGGTCACACTGCGCCTTGGCACGCCTGGGACAGAAGATTACGTCTCCTATGAGATCTGGCAGCCTGTCCGAAAGACCCTGAAAAGGGCAAAGCACAAGCTGGCCAACATGGCATTGGAAGATCTCTTTGGGGACGTTAGGGGGTATTATGAAAAGGTGGAAAAGCTGAGTAATGCAACGTCTGATTCTTACTCTTGGGATATTGGAGCTCCCGTGGAAGGAAAGGCCGACTTGTACCTCGGCGGCCTCCTTTGGAATCTTCAAACTTATCAGGACGGAGTCTGTCCTGATTATTCCTTCAACTATGGAAAACGCTTATCCCCAACAGCTGGCGAAATCGTAAGATTCTTTAAAACGGCGATGAAAGAAAATGTTACGCTTGGCATGCGCCAACTCTTGCCAAACAGAACAACTTATGAGAACCCATCCGATGGCTATCCAGTCAGTGCAGGAGTCAGTTGTTTGGCGGCACTGCCAAGCCAAGTGCGAGACTTGGTTCCTGAGCCATACCGACAACTAGATGACGAAACCGTGGAAAAGTTCTACTCAAATTGCATGGACCCCGTGGACAATGTGTTTGATTTGAAAGGATTCGAAAGGTTATGTGACGAAGCTGTTGAAGAAATGGGGCTTGACGCTGGCAAGCGAAGGTTGTCGCGGCAAGGCCTCTCTAGCGAAGAAGACCTTATGGACATGAGCCACTATTGGTTGGTGCTGTCCAAGGCCAGGGTACCGTTGTCCAACCCCATTGATCCTCCGCCGCCATTCTCTGAGCGCCTTTCTGAACTTCGGCCAAACAATCGCATCCGTGTGAACAGACTGCAAGCGGTTTGGAAGCCTCGCCGTCGAGCTGTCTGGGAAGAGGGCGAAGCGAACTCCCAAAAGGAGCTGTCGTCGAGAGACCCATGGGAACAAGCTGGGCTCAACTTGGCAGAACCAGATGAATTTCTGGGCCAGTTCATTTCCTTGGAACATGTGCTAGACTACAAACGGGCGTACCAGAGGCAAATGAAGACCAAAAAGAACAAGAGTGTTATTAAGGAAACGGCGAATGGAAGTCTAGAATCTGCCACCACTACTAAGAAGAAGAAGAGGAAACCAGTAGGTGTGACTGAACGGATGTTGACCTATGAGTACAAACCGCCTCCAAAGAAGTATGCCACCACTACCGAGGGCCAATCCGCGTTGGCTTGTTTGAAACAGCTCAGTGATGCTGGGTTGGTCGGAGCAATCGAATGGAAAATTACGATGCCATCACCATCAGAGTATGCCTCGTTCAATCCAGAAGAGCACGAATTGGTGACTCTGACAGTGCAAAAGGCATCCGATCCAGAACTGAACATTCTGAACGATGTGTTGATCTATGAGCAAGATCGGGACATCAACCACGTTTCGAGACAAGCTCTCAAGCAGCACTTGAGTACCTTCGCCATCTGCGACATTGTAGGTCCAGAAATCAAGTGGACTACAATGACATTCAAAGACTTGCGCCTCCATATTGCCGCCAAGAATGGTGCGAAAAGCGCAAAATGAAATAGCCTGTCGCGCCAACCTTCTGATGGCCAGCCAGCCTGCATCATCGGACTGACAAAACTCCAATATACAGGCGCTGTAGAAATCTTCAATAGTGGAAGTTGTGAAATGGGGACATGAAAATGATTACCCATGGAGAGCATTGACATGCTCCTATGCTGCTGTTGGTGGTCATTTGAACAAGCTGAAGGATGCCAGCGCATGAAGGGCCTGTGGCATGGCAACCACAGCTCAGATCTCAATGTACAAACCCTGAGATAGCTAAATGGCGTCACACCTTCTCAGGAGGCCAGCCAGTGTAGCCAGTGAGCAGACTTGAATTTGGGAAACACCTGGGCCTTGGCTCATGGGTCGTCCTCAAGCACTTCTTGTCTGAATCCCCTGCTAGCCTGGTAATAGATTTTGAGTTTCCTGAAGTATGCCAGCGCATGAACATGGCTGTCCATGGCATAGTAGGACATGTCCAATTGCTGCTGCAAGTGGATGGGTTGGCATTTTTTTGGATTCGTGCAAGTGCATGATGTGAAGCTGCCAGCTAGGTAGGCATGTGCAATTGGACACTTTGAAATGGTTTCATGAGAATGGACGCCCTTGGGACTCAAGGACAATTCCAGTAGCTAGCTATGTGCTATAGGAAGACCCAGGTGCAGAAGTGGGCCAGAGATAATAGCTGCCCTGAAGACTAATGACTGACTAGGTCGATGGATGATAATCAACACTCGTGAAACAGCTCATAAAATGTTTATAGTTCAAATAATGCATATCATTGGATACCGTTGCAAAAGTCAACCTTGCTAGCTAGAGCACTTTTGTCAGAGCTCTGCATTGCATGATGCCCACTACTGATACATGTACTTCTCCAACCTTTTCGCTCGCTGCAACGTTGGTTGCATGAGTTGCCATGTAAGTCGCCTCGACTGGATCTCTTCTCTGCTTTGCCAATTTGCGGGACATCATTTGTTTTGGACCGTCGTATACTCACTCATTCATTATTACTTAATCCTTTTTTGCAAGTGGTACTTCCACTTCCATGGGATTCATTCCATTTGCGGCCCATGCGAGATACTCGTTCTTGTTGAGTGCATTCATCTTGTTCATGTGCTCTTCGGTGAGTTCAAATCCAAAGACATCCAAATTGGACTTGATGCGATCTTCGTTGGTACTCTTGGTCAATACGGCGTATCCACGTTGCATGCCCCATCGCAGCAAGACGGCCGCTTCGGGAACCTCCAATTCCTTGGCAATTGCCGCCTGTACGGCCTGCGCATCGGCCTTCAAGTCTGCCTTGACATCACCACCTTGTCCCTTTTCCTTGCGCCAGGAACTCATTGTCGCCAAGGAACTGTAGGCCACGGGGACAATCTTTTTTTCTTGCATGAGTTGAGTCATTTCCGGTTGTTGCATCAACGGATGGAATTCAATTTCATTGACTTGTGGCATGGGCAACCCGGCATCTTCAATTTCTTGGAGCCGCGCCTTGTTGTAGTTGGAGACACCAATGTGCTTGACCAATCCCATTTTTTGGAGTTCGACAATGGCACGCCACTGTTCTACGCGGGTGGATGATGTGGGAGAATGGATCAAATACAAATCAATGTATGTCAATTGAAGTTGTTCCAGTTGTTTTTTGCACGTGGCAATGGTATCGTCGTATCCCTGTTCTGGCATGCCCCAACCAGTGTATCCGGGCCACAATTTGGTAGTGACAAAGACATCTTCTCGTGTGTTATTGTCATCACTAAAGAAAGCAGCGAGCGCACGACCCGTTCCTTCTTCATTGTTGTATCCTTGTGCCGAGTCAATATGACGAAAGCCAGCCTTGAGGGCGAGGAGGACACTGGCTTCGGCCTGTTCGTTGCTCATTTGGTAAGTTCCAAATCCAATCATGGGCATGCCAATGGCATTGCGAGAGTCCTTGGTCAGTGGTGTTGTTGTCGTCATGGTGGAATCTTTCTACTTGTATTAAAAAATGTCGGCTGTTCCAAAAATTATGCTCTTCTGTGCAGCAAACCAAACCAAAACTCCAAAAAGATCTAATGAAGGAATGCACAGATACCTGAATCTTGGTCGATAAAACAAAAGCTACAATGCCGCTTGCTTGGCGATCCTGGAGCTTCTTGTATCTTTGGGTTTTCGATCCGTCCCACTGGTATTTGATGATTCCCGCGGAAGATGTTTAGATTGAATCACCAATGCGACGTCAAATTGAACTTTTTGCAGCTCTTTTGGCTGACTATTTCTTGGTCCAATCAGCGTTGAGGTTGGATCAAAAGTGCGTACCTCATCAGCGACTGACTGACTTTGCCGCGTGGAAGTTTGGAAACGTCTCAACCAAGGACACCCAGCAAAACAATGCCCCAAGCGACCTTCACTGCCGCGTTGATTGATAGAAAGGCATCGATAGCCTATTGCTGCTGCTGCTGTTGTTGGCATTGTTGTTGTTTGGCAAAGCTCTAGCTTGCTATCCAGCTGTCATAATTCAACCAAGAAACAAACAGTGCACGTTCGAGCGCCAAAGGATTCCAATAAGAGCCTCACAAAAACAAACTGGATCTCCAATTCTATAAGAGAGGCTGATCCAACCTAATAACTCCACACTGCTTGTAGCACAGGGACTAACACATCACATCACATCATAATAAACTGATTTGGAACGATGTTACAATACGACAATTCCGCCTTCTATTTCTTTGCGCTCAGTTCGCTGAGTTTCTACTTGGTGCCATGTAAGCCAAAATGATGCAATCAGGACAGACGACATCCCTCGACAAAATTTGTTGGCTCACTCTTCATTCCTGCTCTTCTCTTCTCTTTCTACTCACTACTAACTGTGTGTAACAGCATGGTGGTCTATTTTGAAACGCGTGGTGAATGCCTTTACGGTGAGCGATGAAGCCATTGGTGCCGTGACGCGTACGACGGCTGAAAAGAAAAAAGCGGAAGAAATCAAAAAGGAAACCAAGGGCATTTCCACTCTGCTGGGCAACCGCAGTTTTCTCTTGCACGTCTTGTTCACACTTGCCGTCACTGCCATTTTCTGTTGGCTCCTCGTGTCCGTCTCGATTGATGGAGAAGTCAATACATTCGATCCCTTTCATATTTTGGAAATTGACACGGGCGCCGACAACAAGGCCATTAAAAAGGCATACCGCAGTTTGTCACTCAAATACCATCCCGACAAGAATCCCGGAGATCGAGCCGCCGAAGCCAAATTCATGATGGTCTCCAAAGCATACGAAGCGCTGACGGACGAAGAAGCCAAACGCAATTACGAACTACACGGAAATCCCGATGGAAAACAATCCCTCGAAGTATCCATTGGTCTGCCCACCTTTTTACTCGATACCAACAATCGAAATCTCGTACTCATGGTCTATCTCATCTTCATGGTGGTCCTTGTGCCCTTTGGTGTTTACACATACTACTCCAATTCCTCCAAATTTGGAGAAAAGGATGTCATGTACGACACGTACTCGTGGTTCCATTACACACTCAATGAACATACCATTATCAAGTCGTTGCCCGAACTCATGGCCGGATCGGCCGAATTCCGAAAACGAAACATGCCCAAAGACTCCAACGAAAAAAGTACCATTGCCAAATTGCTCTCGGGAATGCGCTCGCAAATGCAAAAACCCAAATACAATCATCCCGTTTGTGTCAAGGGAAATGTGTTACTTCATGCCTATCTATTGCGCAAGACGGATGCACTCACCGCCGGTCTCAAGGAGGATTTGCGATGCATGCTACGATTGTCCAGTTCTCTTTTGGATGCCATGATTAGTGTCTGTCAACATCAAGATTCACTCCAGACCGCCATGAATTGCATCGAGTTGGGCCAATACCTGTCGCAAGCCATGTGGGTCAAGGATTCGTCACTGCTGCAATTGCCACACTTTACCGCAGAAGAAATCAAGCATGTCGAAAAGGGAAAACAAAAGTGCGATGGAATTTTGCAGTATCGAGATTTGCCCGATGATCAAAAGAAGGGAATGAACGATTTCACGGACGCCCAAAAGGCCGATGTCGCCGCGTACTTGAAATTGTTTCCCGATATCACGGTCGAATCCAAGGTCTTTGTCGATGACGATGAAGATGACAAGGTCTACGAAGGTGATCTCTGTACCGTCAAAGTATCCATCACCCACAACAATGTCAAGGAGGGAGAATCCATTGGATTGGCCCATGCGCCACTCTTTCCGTACCCCAAACAGGCTGCCTGGTGGATCATTCTAGGAACCAAGGAGGGAAAAATTATCAATATTGAAAAAATCAGTGCCACCGCCAAGACCATTCATCATGCCATCAAGTTCTTGGCACCTCGTCAGGGCGAATACAACTTTGATCTCTGGGTCAAGAGTTCCGCATACATTGGCTGTGATCAAAAGGAATCTGTCAAGTTGACAACGCTCGATAACTCGGTTCTGCCAGAATACAAGATTCATCCCGATGATGCCGAGTTGGATGACGAACCAACCTTGTTTGAAGAGATCCTCAATGCACACATTGAACAGGACAGTGATGACGATGACAGCGACGATGAATCGGACGCCGGAGGTGATGCCAACAAGAAAGAGGCCGTGCCTGATTCTGCGGCGGCAAAGAAGAAGGCCCAATTGCAAAAGGCACGACAAGCTGCTGGGGGAGACGACGACGATTCGGACGACGACAGTGATGCCGAGGAAGTTTACGCAGAAAAATAAAGTGGCGCTGATAAAGAGTCGAATGGCTGGATCTACACGTCCTACTGTAGAAATGGACGAGGAGACGAGCAATATATGGAGAGCGGCCGCTGCAAAGTTGTGCGCAATTCTATTAGTAATATATTTACCTATGCATAGCGCCGTTGTCTAAATCCTTAGTAGCTGTCTTCCTTTACCTCTCCTTCTTCTTCTTCCTCCTGTGCGACTCTGCCTCGCTTCGCACTTCGGCCGAATAAGTTACAGGGCAAGGGATCATGATCATATTTACGTTTGAATGACCCCGGAGTGCGAGCCCCGGAGTGCCCACGGCTGCTTCCTTGGCGCTGTCGTTCACCAACAGAAGAATGACACAGAGACCCGGTTTGGTTTTGTGCCCTCCGAGAGGATTCGCTGCGAGGCTCGGATTCTCCACGGCCACCACCAGAAGGTAGCCGTTCGGGCGACGAACGACGGCTGCGGCCCCGTCGGTCACCAGCAGAGGAATGACACAGGGACCCGCGAGACACGCAAATTGATGGTGGTGGTCCGTTCTGTGAGGACCTCTGGTTTTGTGCTCTGCGAGAGGCTTCGCTGCGATGTTCGGATTGGCGACTTTGTTGGTGGATGCGTGGGGTACCGGTACTGGTACGTGCCCTCTCTGATTGGCAGCGTTGGCTACCTGCAGACTCAGAACCGCGACCAACATGGCCATGATGGCTGCTTCCTCCTCGTCCATCGTCGCCACCGTGCGACGAGCGTCGATTTGCGTCACGGCGACGCTGAGACGACCGAACGTTGTTCTGTTGTTGGTGCTGCATACGGTCGTTGCGGCTTGGTGTTGCCATGGATGGATTCGGGCGCCACTCCCTACGATCAGCGTTTACGTAGCCAGGGTACCAGCGCATCTTGGGTGCAAAACGTTGATTGTTGGTGTCCCGAAAGACTTCCGCGATAACGGTGCCGGTACTACCATCAATGAGGCGACGCGGTCTCACTGGCCCGGGGGCACTCCCGCTACGATAACCATCTGGGGGGAGGATTTTGTTCCTGTTCTCTGCTTTCGAACATACCTCGTACAAGTGAGCAGATGCCTTCCTCGCAAAGGTCGCGTTCCCGCATGCCATCAATCGATCATACGCGGCACGCATGAATTCGTCAGGCAACTGCGAGGGATGAGCAATATTACTTCCTGGCTTCTTCGACTGCATCATGTCGTAACACAATGTGAACAATTTGGACGGTTTGAGTATGTCTGTGAACTGCGGATTCAACTCGGCTTCAATGAGTAGAACTGCGATGGGATGCATACCAGCAGCTTGATTGTCCTGGTTGAGATGCCCTCTGTCTTGCATTGACGCAAAAACTGAAGATGGGTCCGGCTGCTCACCGTTTCGCTTGAAATCATGTATCGTGTCCAGAATATGCCGACAGAGACGATATACGTCAGGATAGAAGTGCTCGTTTCTGTCCTCATGATTGAACGGCTGGCCAATACACGTCTCGACGAAGAACTTCTGGAGGCCGGTAGAATTCTTCACGCTCATTTCCCACTCGTATATTCGATTTTGGTTACCCTGGAGTTTCTCGACCCGACTGAACACACATTTCTTCAGTTCTTCCGTCGTCGCCTTCTGGGCGTCATCTTCAGACATCCACCCATGTTTCAACACAAGTACTATTAGCCAGTCAGACTGATCGTCTTGTTTCACAGTTATGCTGCGTGTATTTTTGTCATCCATTTTGATGCGGTGGTTGTACTTCGAAAAGAAGCGGTTGGTTGAAACACTACACGGGGGCCTGCTTGATGTTCGAGACGAGAAAGGAGAATGCAGCAGTCGTTCTTGAGGTCACATCAATGGATCGACAGCGTCATGTGCTTCAAGAAGACAAGGGAGCGAAGCAAAGTAACTTTTGAACTGCTGGCAGAACGACAACGGTCGGCTTCGAGATCACTCACCGCAACAGAAATCAAACGGCGTCTTCCGTCAAGCGACAACCCGCAGAAGCTGCGACAGGAGAGATGGGTTTCAGGTTCTAGAAGAAAGATCTAAGCCTTTACGTCTTCCTTGACGAACGGAGCAACAGTTGTTGTTGGCAAGAAGTTTGTTCTAAATCTCGAGGCAGAAAAATGTGAGGGCGAAAAAGCTTTTTTAAGCGTTCTTCTTTTCATCCTGCGAAAGGAATATTCGCGATCTACCGGTACCATACGTGTACCAGCTCGTGTACCGTACGAAAGTACGGTGTACGGTACTAGCTGACACCGTACAACGTACTTAAGTACCTTACCGTAACGTAAATGCTCGAGTGCCGCACCCTAATGCTTTACGGTGAAAGAAACCCCAACAGAACCTCTTCATCTTCATCTCCCCACTCCCCATCCCTGACAAAAAAATGAAGGATTGAATCAATCGTTGAATCCAATCAAAGGCTTTGGGATTTTGTTAGTTTGTTTGGAGGGTACAGCTGTATCACATACTAATATTGTCTCCGGTATGGTGTGTGGCCAGATTGTCAGCTCCCTTTCAATCTCATATCCTCCAAGTCTGCAGTACAAGAAGAATGAATGCAAACAAATAGTTATAATCATGTAAAGTAGGGGGTGTATGTCTGGCACCCAAGCCATGTTGGAAGCATGGAGCTGGGACCAATGGTTGTATGGTTGGAGGAGTAGGGAAGCAAATAGACTCGAGGCTTGCCACAGCTCATGGTTCACACTGTTTTGAAATCCAGGATGCCTGTGTACATTCTCTGGAGAGCATATGTGGATGCTGCTGCAAGTTGGGATCTGCTCAATGTGCTCCATTTCCTTTTTACATTCCAGCACTGGTGATATGGGTTGGTGATATGGGTTGTTGGTGAAGCCATTTCGCTAACAGTCCACTCTCTGCTCAGCCTCGACATCGATCGAATGGATGGAGGAACAATTTTTTGGTGGTCAACCAAAAAGGATGGAGAACGATAGCTGCGAAAGTTGTGCGCAATCTATAGAGATTTTATATGATACCAGTACTAGACAAACGCATGCCGCTGTTGTCTCTGTAGTAAATGTCCTTGCGAGCTTCTTTCGTCAGTTCCTTGAATCTTTTTGGGCTCTGCTTGTTGGAACGCCTGTATCGCTTTCTTTTCTCCCGATGCGGCTTTACTCGATGTCGCTGTCGAGGGTACCAGCGATTCGAAAAGTCTAAGGCTTGAGGTTTTCGAAAAGATGCTTCCATTCGGCTGGTGGGGTCCATGGCACGGAATTACCAGCCCGTGCGTTGCTCGTGCAATCGATACCTGGAGGGGGCAGGATTCTCTCCGGATTTGATGCTGTCGCACAGACTTCTTCGTAAAAATGAACTGAAAGCTTCTTCGCGAAACGTGCATTGGCAAGAGCATTGAATCGATCATAGTTTGCACGCATGAATTCGTCACTTCGCTTCTGTTCTTCCTCCTGGAGCCGCTCGATCCCACTCTTCACACACTTCGCCAAATCTTCACTTGTCGCCTTCTGCGCTTCGTCTTCAGACATCCACCCATTTGTCAATACCATTTCTTCCAAGATCTTTGTCGCAGACATGCTGGGTGTATTTTTGTCATCCATTTTTGATGCGGTGCTTGGTGTTCTTCGAGGAAAAGACGACAACGGCTGGGGTGAAGGCACTTTGCGACCTCCTTGATGTTCGAGAGACGAGAAAGGCGAAGAATCAGTGGTTTTTGAGAACACAACAATCAAATGATACGATATGCGTCCTTTTCTTCAAGAGGCAACGCTCGAAGCATCAAAACTGTTTTTGGACTGTTGGACTGTTGGTCGATATGGGACAACTTCGAGATCACTCACCAGGCAAGAAATCAATCGGAGTCTTCACGTCAAGGGACAACCTGCAGCAGCAGCAGCGACAAGAGCGACGGGTTTTCAGCTGGGAGACCAAAGGGCGAATTCGTAAAAGTGGCTTGCTGTGAGGTCGACACTTGAGAAATGGAGAAGAAAGCAAGAATGCTTTTGTTGGAGGAGAGGAAAATGTGAGGGGGAAGAAGCTTTTTTAACCCTTCTCTTTTCAATCCTGGGAACTTGCTAGCTAGCTAGAGTCTACTAGTGGGGTTGTACAATGTTCGCGTTTGCAAAATCACCTCCACCCTAAACATGGGGCTTAGCCAATCTTGAGCAGTCTTTACAGGCTTATTTGTGCTTCGTGGAATGCAGTGCAATCAACTGACGTGGCTCTTGATGATGTGTCTCGCGGCACAGGATGACGAAATTGTTGCGTTGCTCTGCATTTCAGAATGATGAATCGAATGGAATCTCCTGCGCCTCATTTTTTGTCGGGCTCAACAACACCTCGTGCGACTAACCTCACAACAACGGCCTCGTTCTTGTACACTTCATAAGAAAGGACAAAGCATTGAATTCATCATGTCTGCCAACGGAATCTTTTATCGACCCCGCCCAGTGCCAACCGAGCAGAATATAACTCTTGTGGATGCTGCCCATGGTGGCCAATCCAAGGAGGATCCCACAGCATGGATCACTCAAGGCTATGTGGCTTGGTTCCTCCTGATGAACGCAGCTGAAATCAAGTACTTGTGTATGCTTGCATACACTTTCTTTCATGGTATGTCGCACAGGTGAAATTTTGAGTGCTCCGTGTCTGGGGACTGACTAACCAGAGAAAATGAATTTTCTGTTGTTTCACAGGATGCAAGCTCTTTGGATCATTGAAAGAAGAACATTCCATTCCCTACAAGTTCGTCAGAATGATTTTCCAGTGCACTGGTGGCGGTTTGCTGGTTCCCATCTTCATCAATGCTATTCCCGTCAGTCTCGGAAATGATGCATACCCCATTTGTATTTTCATATCGACCATGCTTCACATTTACGCCCCTGTACTTCGGCAGACTGTGAAGTCGACTCCCTTTTTGAAGGTAGGTCTGTTGCATCGAAACAACATGCATATCCATTGAAGCAGTTCACGGAAAAGTCTAATCCATCTTTCTACATTCATCCAGGCTGCCATGATTGTCTTGTATGAAGCTCAGCGAGCATCAGTGGTTGTCAAATTGACCTCAGCCGCTGCCAAAGCAATCCCTGCCACGGAGTTTGCCTTTCCACTTTTCGGACCTATTTTCTGTGGCGCGATTGCAGGATGTGGAGGAGGTTTCTTGCCTTTCACAAAGGGGTTGGGGCCTATTGAGAATGGCTTGGCTCCCAACATGTTTTCTGCCTTGGTGGCTGCCACGGGCTACCATTTGTTCATGAACACTTCCCTGAGTGACGATATCCCTTACGCAGCAAAAAAAGCACAAGTCGTTATTGGATGCTACTTTATTGTGTACAGCCTTGTCAAGGAACTTGATCTGGTCAAGGTTTTCAAGGGCTCCTCCGAACCCAGTTCTGAGGAATCAAAGTCCAAGAAGGAATAGACAATCTACACAGCTTTCATTGAAGACATTCTTCAGCTACCGTGTCCAGTTCGACATCCTTCTGCGCTTGGCAATAGATCACTATGATAGAACCAGAAGAGAAGATTCATTTGTGGTTTAAAAAATATCTTTCAGAATGCAGTAGTGCTTCTTTAGAAATACATTTTTCATGATGGCGTAGCGATTCTTTGAAAAGTAAAAGCTTCTTTGAGTCAAACAACTCTGTGCGCCGCCATTTCGACAGTACAGCCGTAGAATGCTTCGAGGAAAGAATCAGTCCGTCGCTCCTCTCTACTGAGCGTACAATCAAAAGTCGTGATGGAACCCATCGCTCCTTGCTAAAAACAGATTACTACAACCGCAGAAAGAGATTATCATTTGACTACAAAAGGCAAGAGAAGACTTTCTTCTTGTTATTCTATTTTGTTTAGTACTAAAAACTTAAGTTGACGACAGCTTCAATGACGACCCCTCGTATGTGTAATCCTTGACGCCTCAACACACATCACTATAGTGAAAGAAGGGGAGATTATCATTTTGGCATTACTTTATTTTCAGTGCGGCAGATATTTACTACGACTTCGCCATGGCGACGACGACTCGACTCAATACTTTCTGCAAGTTACGCCTCGCCGTGCAGGTACTGGAGATGCTTAGCACGGTGAATGCCCCCCATTCTATCCATTTTTGCCCATCGGTCCTCATCACTAAGAGTCGTACCATAAATCAGCATGATTGGCCGTTTGTAGGGAGTATACTCGTACGACATGTATTCCTCTTCTTCTTCCGGAGTAACTGTCGATAGATCAATTGGGGGAAAATATAATCGTTCAGTGCGTGGCAGGCCTAGACCGTGCTTCAACTCTTCTTCGTCATAGGGACGTTCAACTCCACGCACTACAATGTCGTACTTGAACTTGGCAATGTGAATTGCTTTCAGTCGATAGTATCGTTCCCAATCGTCCAAGGACTCTGACTGGGGAGCGTCAATCAGCATGAATCTATTATCATCACCACGGAAGCTGCAGGCCTCGTATTCTGCCTCTTCTTCAGCAGACACCGTAGCAAGGTCAATGAAGGGCCCAGCCCACTTGGGGTCGGACTGTCGCCCAATGCCTTCGAAACTCCACACTTCGTCGTCTTCGTCTTCCACGTCCACGCCGTCGTCGTCGTTGTCGAAGGAACGGTCTTGCCCCAGATCTTCTTCAAATATTATATAATCATCTTCGCTTCCAGTAGATTCGTTGTCATACATTTCGTCCTGGGTTCGCTCGAGTGCTTCAGTGTCGTTTACACTGTAGTGGAAAAATGAAAACCTATTCGGCATTTCTTCACCATCTTTTTCCAATGAACGGTCTTGATCCAGATGATCTTCTTCATACCACATGTTGCGTTGTTCCCGATGATGTCTCTTTCGCTCTTGATATGAGGCACGCAAATGCTGCCACTCAACTTCTTCCAGATCTGCGATGCATTGTCGAGCAAATCTCTCTGCCTCTTCATCGGTTTCTTCCTGGATGATATCGTCTTCCAGGTATCTCACAACTCGCTTGTTGGATGGAGCACTGTCGTTCATTCTGGCTCGCTTGTTGCATGGACGATCATCGGAAGGAACATCGGTTGCAGCCATCTCGACAGCGCTGCGCTTGCGTCCGTCTAGCGCGTCGCCTACAGTAGTGCTCGTCATTGTCATTGTGCAGAAGTAGAGTTTCGTTCGACCGTAATGTATGATCACTGAATAGCTGCAGCAAATTTGTGAGAGCGGTGTGATGAGTGTGCAGGTGATGAAAATGAGGCAAAAAGTGAGGGTGGTTTTTCGACCGATGGTGGAGCACGGTCGTTAAGTCCGATTCTGTCATAATCCACGTTTCAAAAATTGACAGAGAAAATGGTGCAACCAACCAACATCCAAGGAAAAGGACAAGGCGAAGCGACAAGGCAGGACGGCAGGACGATCCTTGTTGCCGCAGCCCTGTTGTAGATGGGCGCCTGAAGAAAAGAAGGACGAACTCAAGATGATTCTCGCTTCAAAGCGACACAGGAAGTGTTGACATTGTTGGACAGGAAAGGCATGTCGTTTTGGTCGCGAAACGCGCTACAGGAGGACGATGGACAGATCTGACGGCGTCGAATCGAATCAACTGTTGAGTCTTATTACCACGGAGGCTCTGAAGTGGAAATCTTACCTGTTGCTTTGATCTGGAATAGTTGGGTCGTGCTGTTTCGGATACCGAATGCTGTGGTCAGGGGTGTCTACTACACTCTTCTGATGCCAAGAGCCAAGAGAAGCTAATCATCATTGGCCATGGCCTTGAGGATATCGCCATTGCATTGCGTCCATCCCGTAGCGGTATAATTGGTCTGGATACATGGCAAAAGCTTCTGTAATACGATTTGTGTATTATCTCTTGCGGACATCAGATTCTGTAGGAGACGCTATGCTGTTGTTGGACCAAGACGAAGAATGGGCTCGAATGGAAAGCAGGTGCCGCAGGCTTGCTTGCTCTATCTTCATCTCTCGGCCAGAATGCTTTCCCGGCGACCATAATCAGCGGAATCTACACTGAACGATTCGATTCGACATGCTAAATGACTGCAGCATAGCAGGCAGTTCTCACTGTTCCTAGTTAGCTTCATTCTCACAGATAGCATTCCAGAGTTGGTTTCCAGGTATTAAAAGCAAAGAACTTTCTAGTAAGCTTTTAGTGTTGTGTTGGCAATGTTGCTAGTATGCTTTTAGTGTTGTGCTGGCAATGTTGCTCTTTACTCCGTGCGTCTAAACCGTGAAACTGTGCACGCAAACGTCCTTTCTCAAGAAATAGCCATGGTGCGTCCTAAGACCATTCGAGTCGCCGTTGTGCCGACGACATTCCCTTTTGAGCAAAGAGGCTTCCAGACCGTTCATCGAATACAAGCTGTCGGTCAATTACATGGCTGCCACTCGACGTTGTGCACCGCTGCATGGCGGCTCTTGGGATGCAACTGACTGTCCGTGGCAGGTTGATGGTCCGTCGACTGTGGATTTCCATTTCCTTCATACGACGTTCTCCATAGTCACGCTCCTTGGCCACCTCGACGGCAATTCCAGCAGCTAAAAACCAAAGGACCATAATGTGTATCTAAAGATGGGCGAGAAAAAAGTGGAGCCTGGACCTTTGGTTTGGCCAAGCGAGTCGGAATTGTGGGCTTTACATGAAGCATGTCATCGATGATTTCACGCCAAAACGAGAGAGCTCTGGGCCCGTTTTTGTTCCCTTTGTTCGAACGATGGCCTGCACTGAACGTTTTCATACGATCAATCCAAGGCTTTTCCTCTTGGTTCAAGAAACGACGGACGGCAATTGAATGATTCTGATCCTACTAAAATCCTTGTGGGACTTACTAAGGTTGGGGATACCAAGCAGAAAAGGTGCAGTGCTCCTCTTATGACCCAGTGTTCTTTGCGGGCACTCTTTGCTGGCTTTCATTATTGTTGCTCGAGCCCAACTCGCTTTGGCCTTGATTGGCACTGGGTTGCAGCCCCGAAGGGGCTGCTCTACTAGTCCTTTGCTGCTTCATGGCCTATTGGTGTGAGGTGCTGGCTGCAGCAGTGTTTGGTGGTCAAGTGCTTTACTAGGGGCCACCATTCCTGCTGTGGCCAAGCGGCCTGGGCGGGAGCGGTGGGAGCCGATTAAACTACTAGTATTGCCTACCTCTTGAGTAGGACTGTTTGTGAGGATGTGTAGCCTCCTCTCAATATTGAGTCTGTGCTAGGCTATGAGCCCATTTCAAGCACATCCATTCCGCGCGCCGGCCTAGAAGAGCAGCCCCGCTCTACTAGTCCTTTGCTGCTTCATGGCCTATTGGTGTGAGGTGCTGGCTGCAGCAGTGTTTGGTGGTCAAGTGCTTTACTAGGGGCCACCATTCCTGCTGTGGCCAAGCGGCCTCCACCATCCACCCTTGGGCCATCGGGCATAAGGGCGGGAATGATCGTAGAGAGTGTGGGTGGGTTGTGGAGTGAGAGCTGGAGCTTCGAGGAGATGTGGGTCGAGTGGAGGTCGAGGTGTGAAATTTGTAGAAAAAGTGGAGTGTGTGGGGCCGCACCGGCCCGGCTGCTCTGCTGGAGGTGCAGAGAGTTAGGGCACGGACCGTGAACGTACACCGAGCCTGTGGATTATAGTTGGGCTGCATTTTCGGTGGTGTAGTCGCGGATTGGCACCGTTTCGTCTGGAAGGAAGGTGTAGGTGCCGTTGTTGAACATGGCAGTGGCAAACTGCTTCATGATCGGTTGTGCTTGGAGGTGGAGATACCGCATCATAGCATCACTGTGCCAGCGACCTAGCATGCGGATTAGGTCAGCATCGACCTTTCCACACAGCAGTGCCATGGCCCCTCCCGCGCGAAGGGATCTGGCGCTGATATCAGCGGCGGCAATGCCTGTATGGTAGTAGTTGAGCGTTGCTGCCGTACGAAGAATGTCGGTGATGTCCTTGGCCTTGACGGGGATTCGCCGGTTGTTGTGGTAGTAGCTCGCCAGCGGTGTGTCTGGTTTTGCTTTGGGTTGATTGTTGGTGCTGTATTGCCGACCGTGATAGACGACTAAACGGATTGTAGCCGTGACAGGGCAGCACAATGGATGGCCGCTTCTGCCATGGGTGATTACTTCGTTCGTTGTTCCGTTCTTTTGTGTGGTGAAGGTGTAGGAGGCCGCAGTTGCGGCTTCAATTTCGGCTATGGGTGCCGTGAGTGTGTCGAGCCGACGTGTACCCAGGTGTAGTGCCACGTCTTCGAGTACAAACGGGGTGTCATCGACAGTAGTCCCGGTGTACTCTCCTGGCCGAAGGAGATAGAAGAAGGCGACCACGATGATGTTCACGATGACTTTACGGTCGTCGGGTTGATTGTTGTTGTAGGCCTGGTGGAGCAGATAGATGATGGTGGTGATTGGCAGTGGTTTGACACGCTTCGGTGGTGTGTCACGGCGCTTGTAGGAGCGCAACTGTCTCTGGATTCGAAAATCTATTTTGCCGGTGGAGTCCTTTCGCAGATCTTTGGTCCCCATCCTGGCATACGCCTGACCCACGGCACGTAAGGCGTCCTCCACCGTTCGAGATCGCACTGGTTCCCCGCTGGCTGAGAGGCGTCCATCTCGGTAGCGCTGGCCGAAGACTTGTAGGATTGGCACGGGATCTTGGAAGGAGCGGAGGAAGGGGTCCATTTGGTGGTCCACGCAGAAGGCATCCCATCTCTTCCAATGCTGATCCAAGGCTTTGGCACGTTTAGTAGTGATGCCGGATCGGATCGCTTCTTGAACAGCGCCGAGATCAGCGCTGAATGCATCTGCGGTTGAAGGTGGCAGAGTTTCCAAGAGTTGGCCTGTGGGAACAAAGCATCAAAGTGAGCAACGAGTTCTTGGTCCGTCAGATTCCACGCCCTAGAGCATATGTCGGCCATCTTGTTCACGGGGCCTGGAATGTAGTCATGGAGGGGTAGGTAACGGTGATGCCGTTGGTGTAGTGACTGCAGCCGTAGCAAGTACGCTGCAGGGCCTGTTGTTGTTGTGGACCCTTTTCGTTGCCAGTAGACTGTGGGTGTGTTGTCGTATAGGTTGTGCATGGTGTGCTCTCGAATGTCAGCTGCTTGGGCGAGGACATCGATGTGGGCGACTGAGCCAGCAAGCTCTAAGTCGCTGTTTGTGATGGTCCCCGTCGGATTGTCATAGGAGACCAGCTTGCGTTGCACTTTTGCGGTGAAGCGTGAACGCCACAGGATTGGTGTGATACCTTCGGTCGTGGGAACAATGGACACCACCCATTCCCATGCCAGAGGCGTCGCAAGCACCGCGTGTGGATGGGTTGGAGTGTGGCACCAGCTCGGCTAAACGGGTGGGCCTGTTGTTGATGCTCTCTGCCAGCCACCGGAAGTCCGACAGAAAATCGTGGA